CTGCCGTAAGGCAATCTGTTTTTGAACTCAAATCTATGTCTTGATCATATCCATATTAAATATACTTCTAATCCATAGGAGGCAGTGCTGCATAAGCCTGTCAAGACCCTATCTAAACACCAACAGAAGTGAGCGGGATTTGTGTCCCCGGTGGCCTGCCAGACATTAGCCAAGGCCTGGCATCAGCAATTCCTTCATCTGAGGTTAAACATCGCCTCATGGGGACCATGGTCCAGGAGCAGTTTGGCTCTATTCTGAATGACGCACATGCCCAGTTCCTGAAGGTTTGGGAACCATGGGTGGCCTATAATGACAACCTGAACATGGACAGCAGCTTGCTCTCGACATAAAGGCATTGATGTGACTCTCTGCCACAGAACTACGGTTGTATTCCATGGGATTTCATTCCCCTCCCCTTTTTCAGTTTTGGGCTTTCCTCAGCCCCTTTTGCTGGCTAGTGTGGAAAACCTGTCTCGTCCTCTCTCTCCATATTGCAGGTGATTACAGCCATGGCTGACACGCAAATTCCACGTCCTTGAGGTTTTCTTTGCATTACCATGCTCTGGATAGGTCGGCGGTTTCTGCTGTAGCTCCTGTGTTCGTAATGAAAGGCCTACCTGCCCATTTCCTTCCTCTCTTTGTACTTTATAGTCTCATTGGCACCTGTTTTCTTTGACACACTGGGGTTGATTTACTAAAACTGGAGAGTGCAAAATCAGGTGTAGCTCTGCATAGAAACCAATCAGCTTTCAGTTTTTTTTTCTTTGTCCAAGCCTAATTGAGCAAGCTGAAGTTAGAAGTTGGCTACTATGCACAGCTGAACCTGAATTTTCACTCTCCAGTTTTAGTAAATCAACTTCATTGTTTTTTGATGACTTTATGCATCTTTGTCTCTTTGAAAATTTCAATAAACCTTTTGTAAAAGAAAAGGTGAACTTACATCGTACACTCTCCCCACCTCCACTGCACTTACCTCTGTGGGTGCTGAGCTGTTATTGGTGTTTAAACGAATATGTCATAAGGTATACAGTGAAGGAAACAAGTATTTGATCCCCTGCTGATTTTGAATGTTTGCCCACTCACAAAGAAATGATCAGTCTAAAAATCGAATGGTAGGTGTATTGTAACACTGAGACAGAATAGCAACAAAAAATTCAAAAGAAATGCATGTCTAACAAATTATGCACTGATTTGCATGTTCATGAGGGAAATAAGTATTTGATCCCCTTCACACAACAGGATTTTGGTGGCAAATCCCTTGTTGCCAATCAGAGGTCAGACGTTTCCTGCAGTTGGCCACCAGATTTGCACACATCTCAGGAGGGATTTTGGCCCGTTCCTCTTGGCAGATCCTCATTAAGTCATTAAGGTTTGGTGGCTGATGTTTAGCAACTTGAAAGTTCAGCTCCCTCCACAGATTTCCAATCGGATTAAGGTCTGGAGACTGGCTAGGCCAATGTGCTTCTTCTTGAGCCACTTCTTTGTTGTTGGTGTTTTGGGTCATTGTCATGCTGGAACACCCATCCACAACCCATTTTAAATGCCCTGGCTGAGGAAAGAAGGTTCTCAACCAAGATTTGACGATACATTGCCCCGTCCCTTTGAAGCGGTGCAGTTGTCCTGTCCCCTTAGCAGAAAAACACCCCCAAAGCAGAATGTTTCCACCACCATGTTTGACAGTTGGGATGGTGTTCTTGGGGTCATAGGCAGCATTCCTCCTCCTCCAAACACAAACAGTTGAGTTGATGCCAAAGAGCTCGGTTTTGGTCTCATTTGACCACAACATTTTCAACCAGTCCTCCTCTGCATCATTCAGATGTTCAGTGGCAAACCTCAGATGGGCCTGGACATGTGCTTTCTTGAGCAGAGGGACCTTGCGGGCACTGCAGGATTTTAATCCTTGTCAGCTTAGTGTGTTACCAATTGTTTTCGTGGCGACTGAGGTCTCAGCTGACTGGAGATGATTGGCAAGATCCTCACATGTAGTTATGGGATGATTCCTCACTGTTTTGATGATCATTGACTCCCCACAAGGTGAGATCTTGCATGGTGCACCAGACCTATGGAGACGCAGTTTTGTGTTTCTTCCATTCGCAAATGATTGCACAAACTGTTGTCACCTTCTCCACCAAGCTGCTAGCTGCGATAGTTTGGTAGACCAGTCCAGCCTTGCGTAGGTCTACAATCTTGTCCCTGACGTCCTTGGACAGCTCTTTGGACTTTGCCATGGTGGAGAGTTTGGAATCTGATTGTTTGATTGCTCCTGTGGACAGGTGTCTTTTATACAGGTAACAAAATGAGATTAGCAACACTTCCTTTAAGAGACTGCTTCTAATCTCAGCTTGTTACCTGTATGAAAGACACCTGGCAGCCAGAAATCCTGCTGAATATTAGGGGATGAAATACTTATTTCCCTCATGAACATGCAAATCAGTGCATAATTTGTTAGACATGCATTTCTTTAGAATTTTTGTTGCTATTCTGTCTCTCAGTGTTACAATACACCGAACATTCAATTTTTAGACTGATCATTTCTTTGTGAGTGGGGAAACATTCAAAATCAGCAGGGGATCAAATACTTATTTCCTTCACTGTCGATCTTGTTTATGAAAAGTTTATATATACCTGTACCTATTGATTAAAAAAACACACATTTCATTTTACATAATTAGCCGTTATTTTCTGTACACACAAATTAAAAAAAAATGTGTTTCTTTTCAAACCACAATAAAGTTTGTAGTCTAGACTTCCAGAATCTTCATTGATGTACTCCGGTAACCATAGGTGTACACAGAGCTTGAGGTTTTACATTGTAAGCAGCCTGCTGCATAGAATACGGCATCCTCAGCTATGCCCACATGTTCCACCTTTGTGGAGGTACTTGTGAAAAGTGCTGCACACCAGTATGGATACTAAGGGGAACTGTGGAACTTCTTATTGTAACACCTGAAATGATCATGTGATTATAGTAAAGGTGAGATTTCAGCATAGAACGGCCTATCTCAGTACATACCAATCAGAAGCAGGTATGCAGACCCAGGAACTCAGTGCACAGATCTCACCAATATAGTCCCTCAAAGAGACCTAAAAACTATCAGGGGGTCTAATGTTCCAGCGTCTACCAAAAACTAAATTATCACTTTTGGGTGGACTAACCCTTAATTTTTTTTTTCCTAATAAAAGGCCTTATGCAAATTTTAAAAAAAAAACGTAAAACATCATTTAATAAAAAGTGTAAAACTGAAGCCAAAACTCTTTAGTTCCTTTTCCATCTGTGTCCAATTAGGGGGTATTTCCTCTTCACTACCTCTCCTGTAGGCACAACAAGATGTAAGAGACTATACTTCCACTGTGAAGGAAACCTTCCCTTAGGGCCCCCCATAAATGTTACATGTTCTGATCATATAATCTTTGTACAATCAAAATGTATATTTACCAAAACCATGTAATATGAGGAACTACCGAATCTATCAAATTATATCCATTTAAGTCAGCCTTTCTCAACCTTTTCAATGCAGAGAAACCCTTGACATAACTTTCCGGTCTCAGGTAACCCCTGCTAAAAATTAATTTTTCCACAATTCATGATACATTAGTGTCATAGTCAGAGGTAAGAATGCTTCTTACACTTGTGGTCATAGAGAAGAATTACCCCCTTACAGATAGCGAAAAGATCAATGGTGTCAGAGGGAACTTACCTGAGAGGCACAAATTGCTAATTGCTCAAGGAAACCCTGGCAACCTCTGGAGGAACCCTGGTTGAGAAACCCTGATTTAGGCAGACCCTCGCACTACATAGTTGCTGGTGAGTCTAAAAGGAGATTGCACAATCAGACTGTAACGTGTGGTGAGTTTTACAGAATGTGTACCTGTGAGGGAGAGTTACTAACAGCAAAAAAAAAAAAAAAAAAAACACAACGCTTCTAATCCCTCACAACTCTATTCAAATATTAAAAAAAACAAATTCCTTTAGTTATACTTTAAAGTAATTATGCATTGGGTCAGTTTTTTTTAATTTAAAACAACAAACATTCAGTACATCTCATTAATGCGTGCACATTTCCTCACATTTAGTCTCTTTAAAAACAGCGCGATTATAGAAAAATACCTGTTGGTCCTGCTATAAATCCAGCAAGCTCCTAACTTCCTGTAGTGAGCTGACAGCACTTCTGCTGCACAGAAATCCCAAGCAGTGTTGTAAGGCCTGCCTGAGTTCTCTCTGAGTACAGGTGTACATATACTGTGTTTTTAAAGAGATGATGAAAATGGGTAATTGTATATGAATTGGAGAAATGTACCGGGATTGGATTTGACTAGAGAAGGGAAGGGTAAACCAATAAATTTGTTTTTTTTTACTGTCTGTGTCCCATTGGTGAGGTTAACCTTCAATTCCTGCCCCAGAGACACAACAGAAAGTGGGAGGAAATCTCTACAGAGTGAGGAGAAACCTCCCTCTTAGACACCAGTCATTAGAATAGGTGTAACCATTGGAAGATTCCCTCTCACCTCCTGTCCTGGTTACAACTGTAACAGTTTTGGATTCTCCATTGCTTTCTCTCTCAGTAACAATGGTCCCCAAATACAAAAGGATAAATCTACCCAGCGGGGACCCAAACACCAAGAATAGCTTGACGGGCATATTGATCATTCCACTCAAAACTGGAAAAAAATTTTTGGCTATACACACACTAACTGAAATATCACCAATGACTGGACTGACCCCTTTTAAAAAGATGGCATTGTTACACTTTCATAAATGATAGCTGGAATCTAACTGGTTGCTATAGGTAACACTTTTTTTTTTTTAAATTATATTAAGTTTGAATATGGATTAGATGAATGTGACAGTTGTCTCATTTCTTAGCAGATCCAGAGAATGCCCCTTCAGGTTCCAGCTAGCATAAGATCCCACAAAGTAAGAGTTATTTCTAAAGTTCCTCTACTGCCGCCATCATAATCATTCAAAAGTTCCTCTACAGAGTCCAAAAATCCACTTAAGATTATACATTATTGCTGACTGTGTCCTTTATCGTAATTGCCGGAGTAGGGCCAATGCGAGTCCAAATAAAGCCCCTCTCAGGGCGGGAGGGGAGAGTGGGGAACGGAGAGGAGCGAGATTTGAAGTACTCAGAGGGGGCATGGCAGACAAAGTCCAAACAATCCATTTTGCGGGGGAGGTCTTCATCCGGTCCTAGGGGAGCCAAAACAAAACATCATGATCAAACACTAAAGACATGACAAACAGCACTACCATAGGTAAATACTTCCATATACTTTATATCAAGTAGTAAGAAATACACAAATTCATGTGGAATGTTCAGTATCAATTTTAAAGTGGTTTTAATGCCTAAACATTGTTTACCTTAACCACTTGCCCTCCAGAGGATTTACCCCCCTTCCTGACCAGGCCATTTATTGCGATACAGCACTGTGTTACTTTAACTGAAAATTCCGCAGTCATACAACGCTGCATCCAAATGAAATTTATGTCCTTTTTTCCCCCCAACAAATGGAGCTTTCGTTAGGTGGTATTTGATCGCCTGTGCGGTTTTTATTTTTTGCGCTATAAACAAAAAAAGACCGACACGTTTGAAAAATATATATATATATTTTTTACTTTTTGCTATAAAACATATCCAGTCAAAAAATTACGAATGCAATTGCTAGGGTAATTTAATGGAAAAGAGGCGGATTGAGAGGTTCCTAAGTTGTAGGGCTAAAGCAACCAGTTATATGTGCTCAAGGAATGGGTGATGAGTACAGTGAATAAGAAGAGGTCAGTTTTTAATTGGCATAATACACAGCTAGCCTGCAAGTGCTACTGGGGTGGCATGCCTAGGAACTGCCCACTTGAAGGACATTAACCATCTAGCTGGGACTGGGATCAATAAAAAAAAACAAATTGATATTCTGATTAAAGTCAATAATAGATCACTTTCTTGGAATGCCCTTCTGTGTGTTGAAAGACACTCTCACTTTATAGTTTTGATTTTCCTGCCAACATTACGAGCAGTGAGACGGAAGACTCAGGACAGTTTGAGGAGCCCATTTCACATCAAATCATGCCCATGGGGCATCCAGACTGTTTGGGCCTGGTTAGCATATTCTCTTTAGAAATGTAAGTCAAGATAGAATATTAAAAGCTGAACACCGACCTATGTACTACTGGCAGCAAAACAAACCATAGCGAAAACTTGGAAACAGCAGTTCATATCTTTCACAGAAGTTCGCCGGCGCCTAGACGTTTTTCCTATTAATGAAAAGCTTTCCAGCATTCTTTTGGATACCCATGGGAAATGTCTTAAAAATGGACTCTCTGGATCCTCTTCTATATCAACAGATAGCTTTATGTTGCCATAATTAGAGATTTCATGAACCGGATTTGGGCACTCTTGATGTCCTTTCTTAGACTCTCTCGCTCCCCTTTTTTTCTGGCTCTCCCGCAGGGACCAATTGTGGTTTGTTCTTTTGTATTTCTAGGTTTGATCATATACTCTGTGAACATCATACACTGACACCTCCTTCACCAGTGGTTCCAGGCTGTAGATGTATGGACATTCTTTGCTTTGTGCACTGATCCATTGTTATAACATGATAAATGTACTGTTTTAATACACTTTCTATTTTGTTACTTGTAACGGATTTGTTATTTTATGTACGGCCGCTTTTGACTGATCTGTTCTTGAGGTAATATTCCGATCTGTACACACCACAGCGGTTGCAATTGTATCTTCTAAAAACATATAATTCTTCATGAAAAATGTATTGAAATGAAAAGCTGAACACTGGAATATTTTGTAAAAAATACCTCTGCAGTGGGCAACCCACCCCACAAGGGTAAACTGCTCGCTAAGTCTAGGGGTAGAAGAATAAGTCGTAATACATGCCTAGTTGTGAGTGAGCCTTCTCTGTCCTCACATACAATGCAAGACTACAGCACTTTTTAAAAAATGTATTGTTATTATATTTGTATCTTGATATGAGAAGGCAGTTAGAAATAAAAAGCACTTTTAGAAAACCCTCTGCATACTGATGTGTGCTAGGTCCTTTTGTGGTACTACATTGTCTGTTACCTCCAGGAATGCAGAGGTCTCTGGGTAGCCAGTCTCTCACTCACAGGTTGTATAAAGGGAGGTTGTGTTGTGCAGAACACAACCTGTCAAATAGACACTGGCTGCCTGGAGACCAGTGCGATCCTAGTAAGAATGGACAATGCAGCATTGTGAGAACAAGGGTTGTGGTGATACGTCAGAGCCCAGTGACACAATAGTGCATGGAGGTGTCCTTGAAACAGATGATGTAACCGCAAATTAAAAACTAAAGCAAATGAAGTACATCTCTGCAATATTTAAAAATATTGCAAGAGCAGAATTGGTGATCTGCCAGAAATCCAGCTCCTAACTTCCTCTTTGGACTGACAACACAGTGCCTCTGCTTCACTGAAATCCCAAGCAGGGTTGTCAGACTTATGCTGTAGCACAACAGAACTTGTATCCCTGCCTCTCTCTGTTTCTTTCCACATGCATACATTGATTTATTTTCCAGCAAAACAATGCTTCTGCCTTGACTTCCAAGAGCCTGCTCACACATTGTGTATGGGAAATGGGCTCTTGAGTGGTGTAGTTCTGCAGGGCCGGAGCTGTGTCAACTGTCCCAGAAGCTGCCCCCGCAAGAATTTTTCAAACTTGTTGACGACATCACAGGGAGTAATAAAAGCCATTTGTCTCCAAGGTACAAGTTAAAAGAAAAATAACAATACAACATACTCTAGAAGAAGGGACGGAAGCGTGGAAGTAATCTGTATCTGGGTATAAACTTTAATGTTTGAAAACCTTTGTTTCTATGTGTAGTTTGATACATATCATTAGATCTTGAGAAATCTGCAGCTGGCTGTTTCCATTCATTATATTGTACAATATCAGAAACATTCAACAGATGAAGACTTGTTATACACACCTATGATGTAGGTAGCTGGATCAAAGTGATCTTTAGGACTGGCGAGGGTGGGGATGAGCCAGGTTAGAGCAGCACTCTTCTCGCAGTACTGATCCTGAATGAAGCCTCTGACCTGGGCATAGTATATCTTTCCATCATCCTCATCGATGACAGACACCACATCACCGATCTGATAGTACAGTCCCTGCAACAAGTCACATCCTGTGAGTTAATGACTCATTAAATGCTACTTAAAATGTTTTTTTCTGCCACACATTTTATCAAAGACTTCAAATGAATTACTGCCACTCAGATGCGCCTGAACCAAAACTTCTTTGACCTGGGTTATTTTCACATGCTTCAACTCCTAACTTTCTGCGCTGCCCACCAGTGGCTTCTTCCTTTATGAGACCATTGACTACCTATGAAAAGGAGTGTCGGGGTTGAAGATGTTTCCAGAAGCCATTTCCTACAAACAGTGACTTGATAATCTTTGCAGACCCCCCCCCCCCCAAGGTATCTAGACAAATGGGAAAATGACCTCCAACTTCTGGACCGGTACACAGTGCAGAAAGATCTTGACCCTTTCCTTTTATGTTATTTAAGAACTAGCTTATGAAATCTTAACCTAGTGGTAGCGCACCCGAACACTGCTGCACTGTATTTATCCTACTGTGCCTGAAACGTGTTGGGGGTGTGGTGCTGAGAGGGGACATGCTGACATGCTACATCCATTTTGGTTCTGCCCAATTCTCAGTTTTTGGAATGGAGTACATGCGATCATGCAAAAATGTACAGACAGGACTTTACCTGTCACATCTCCTATTACCTACTGCACCACAATGAGATACCATCATCCACGTATTCAAAAAAAAAACAAAAATCGGTGGTGAGGCACCTAGGTAATGCTGCCAGGGCATGTATTTTGCCCGTATGGAATTTGGTGCACTCGCCAACTCTATGGCAATGGATCCTTAAAGTGGAGGACATTAGGGAAATGGAAAGTCTGACTAGCTCCCTCAAAGACATGACTAAAAGGTTTACTAAAACATGGTTGTATTGGCTTGAATCTACATGTACGGATGATTTTAGAAAGCTTCTGGTGGGGTAAACTGCTGCACTGCTACACTCACCTTACATCGTCGACCCTTGACGTTCTTGAACCCCATTTGTCTGAAGGGTGTAATTGCTTTAGACAATCAATATATTCTTGTTACCCCTCCCACTGGTGGTGCTGCCTCACCTGCCCCATTCCTGGGTGATGGCAGGGTCATTCTAACTCCCTCTAGAGTACAGGCCCAAGTTTTGCTCCCTGGAACAGCTCATGGTGTGCACTGACTAGTTACAGTGTTATGGTGTTGTTTTAATCACTCCAGCATGGAGAACAGGACTTCTGGCTGCAAAACGTAATGAGAATTAGGGCACTAAGCATGGAGGGATGGCATATATCTGTAAGGGATAATAGCACAGAGAGCAAATTATTAAAAAAACAAACAAAAAACAAACAAAAACAAAACAGCATTATTACAACAGTGTGTGCAACGGATCCTACGGTGTTCCTGTTGCATTGCTTGAAGTCAGCTTCACCGTACAGCACACAGTAGTAAGATCGAATATGAGAAAGATTTACTAATAGCTTGAAGCTTGATCCATAAATTTCACCCTCTGCTGCTCTAAAATAGCACTGAGTTTATAAAACTTGCTCCTGACCACTTCTTAATTGAGTGCCTGGTTAGAATAAAATCTTCAGTGACAAATCTGTCCTAGGCGATTACACAGTATACCAGGTGCAGAGGTCACAAATATGTATTGAAAAAGAAGGAGGAAAAAAAAAAAAAAAAAAAAAAAAACACACACACAGCACCACCACACACACTGTTCTTAATGAATGGCAGCCTGATTGTGTCTCAACAGCTTGAGAAATGTTCCTCACTGTATCTACACATGGCTGTAACATACAGTATACTTCAGGCAGGCAATCTAAAACTGCAATTAATTATTTTTTTTTTAATATCAATTTTTATTTTTCAGAAAACGGTCATAATAATCAAAAAACGTACCTTATGAAATAAGGATTCTGAAGTCACTATGGTGGACACGGCTTCCGGGGCCTTAATAGGCTAAACAAAATGACACCGTACATGTTAATAGTATAGATTTATTTAAAGTAGCCCTGTACTAATATGACTGTACTAATATTTCAGATGAAATAAGCAGTCATTACTAGTTTTTTTAAAAATTTCCTGCCTGGCCTTAATGCATGCTACAGTAATAGATCACTTTATAGGGCTGCAAAGGGGATTTAATTTTAGCGAACTGATGTTTTAAAATTCAGAAAGGGCTTGAAAAGGTCTAATAACTGACTACTTATCTATATTTATCACAACACTACTGTTGTCATAATTGGACATTGTCACATTTCCTTAGCCATTGTTACCTGAACTCCAACAGTGTTGATCTGAAATGTTCATGGGTAATTTTTATTATTAAGGAAACAAGACAACGTGGCTAGTCATAATAATTTAAAATGATAAGAGATTGTTTAGACATGTGGTTTTCAACTAAAGTGACTATGTTGCTACAATGAAAAGGTAAACTAAAGTGTCACCTGCAAAGAATGTAGTTAATACTCACCTTTTCCACTGTCCAGTGTGCAGATCTCTGCTGTACTGCTGAACCCCAGTGGCGAATGGATCTTCACAATCTGAAACTTTAAGGTGTGCCCCCTCTACACATAGCAAATCTGATCCACTGGTCCCTGCCTAACTACTATGTCCTATAGTGATGTATAGGCCTGCAGGAGGAACCACAGCGCACAGAGGGAGACAAAGAATCTAACACTGATGAAAGTGTTGAATTCTGAAGAATCCTCAGACTACAGTGTCTTAACTAAAGCAAAGATCGGCAGCACAAATGGGTGAGAATTAACCATCTTCTTTGCAGGGGACACTTCATTTTACATTTTTATTTCAGCGAAATGGTCCCTTTAAGAAAATCTCTGCTTATGTTCTTTATACATTACATTCTTAGATTTAACATGCCAGAATTGTGACAAGTCAACAAAAACAAAGATCAGCTTACATTTTTCAGCTTAAAAATATGCCTCCTTCCTTTGCCTTTGGTGGAAACCTTCTTTTCTACAGCAGGAGCTGACTTGTACTTTGTATTCCTTAAACGGGCAGATCTTCTGTGGATTTCCTGCTTGGACTATAGAAATTGGGAGAACAAAAAATAGATATCAATATTTTAAACTGTAAATGCTGCAACTATCTGTAAAATGTACAATAGTTCCGTAGTTAAAAAGAAAAACCAACACAATGTCCTACACCTAAACTCAGGACATATGATGTGGTGAAATACTACAACATACTGAAATACTATAGCCACATATGCCTGGCCTTTTCTTCTCTAATAGTCATGGTAATCATTAGTAACACCTCATCTGGAATATGCAGTTTAGTTTTGTGCACCAATCACAAAAAGAACATTGGGGAACTGGAGAAAGTGCAGGGAGGGGCAACCAAACTGATAAGAGGCATGGAGGAGCTCAAATATGAGGAAAGATTAGAGGAACTGATTGTATTATCTCTTGAGAAGAGGAGATAAAGGGGGATATGCCCATCATGTAATAAATACATAGGTGGTCCATATAGTGAACTTTGTGTATAGTTATTCAGTGTAAGGTCATCACAGAAGACAAGGCAGCACTCTTTACATCTGGAGGTAAGAAAGAGAGGCACATATGGAAAGGCTTCTTCACAGTAGGAGCTGTGAAAATGTGGAAAAGACTAGTTCTGGCCAGCTCAGTAGATATTTTTTTTTTCCACAAAGAGCTGGATGAATTCCTAAATGCAAAAAATATAAATGGACATTATCATCCATAGGTATTAACACCAGAGTTTGTTGATCCTGGAAATATCCAATTGCCTTCAGGGTCACAGGAAGGAACTTTTTCTCTCGCTGGAGCAAATTGGATCATGCTTTATAGGGTTTTTTTTCCCTTCCTCTGGATCAACTGAGGGTTAAAAGGTTCTGTATATAGGTTTTCTAATCATTTCAATTTTCTATTGAATTTGATAGATCTGTGTCTTTTTTCAACCTATGTAACTATGATTTGTGACTGATTTTTACTTTACAATGCCTTAAAATACATTTCTCTCAGTTACCCCAATGCTGCTTCCTGCCCCCCCCATTTAATTGCTCTATGCTGACAAAGCTGAATCACTGCCTTATCCCTCGACACAAATGTCCTCACCTAGACTTGTGTTGTAGAGTCAAAGCAAGGGGCGTGTCAGAGCAAGTCTGCTATTAAGAGCCATTTACTGAGTGCACTGGGACTAATAGGAGCCCACTGGACTGCACAGTCATCTTTAGACTCTCTATGCAACTGGGAGGGTCAAATTTAAAGTGTTTAGTACAATGTCTATCTAGATATATTAATAATTGGGCTTTGAGGCTCATTCACACAGGCACTCAGCACTGAACAGTGCAAAAAGGCTTTTGTTTACTTACCCACACTAAGCTGTGCGCAGATGCATTATGAGTGAAACTCCCATTGGCTGTACAGGTGGATTTCAAACCAAGTTTTCTACAAAATGCTAATTCCAGCTGCACTACCCTGGATGCACAGGCAAGTAGTTCGAGTCCCATGTTTAACCATCCATGCATAACTGTCAAACAAGTTGTGCGGGTAAATCTGTACAGCCAGTGTAATGTCCATAATTCATGAATATGGGCTGCCTGCATGCAGCTCAGTGCTGGGACAGAAAAATAAACAAAGGAATTTACACACTGTTCAGGACTGAGCGTCAGAGCACATGTGATCTCTCTAATTTTGTTTTTCATTTATTTTCTTCAAGTCTTTGCAAAGCATTTTGAGCTTTCTAAAACAAAAGCTTGTATACTAAAACAGTAGTTTAGTTTTGAGGCCTAGTCTACCCAATGACAAATACAGTAGTACAACCATCTTTGTTAGGGCAATGCAAAACAATGGACATTGGTGGTCACTACAGCAAGCCAATAATTGTATTTATAAATGGCACACCTGCTTAGTGCTGCCCCCATTATTCTGTTGAGAGGTCGAGGCACTGGCAAAGCTAGTCCCGCTGTGTAGCAGTATTGGAGCTGCTGGCACCACTGAAATTGCTGCCCCCGCCACTGCCTTTACCAGTGCAGCTATTGCACAGAATTTCCCCCTGGTTTCCTTTCTTCCACATGGAAGAGAGTTGGTTTTGCACATACTGCATGTTGGCTTCAGTCCAAGAGGCATCTATGGAAAAAAACAAAATGATTAGTGTAAATATAAAATAAAATGTATGCACAAAACCTCACACACAATACCAGCTATATCTAGAGCAGCCTTTCTCAACCAGAGGTTACTAGGGGTTCCTTGAGTAATTCCTGACTCAGTTAAGTAATCACTGACAACAAAGATCTCTTTTTCATGATGGAATAACCTATGGATGGTAATATAATTTTCCTCAAAATGTGCAAGGGAGGGGATTATTCTCAGTGGTCACAAGTGTAAGGGACATTCTTTCCAGTGACCATCAGACTAATGCATCATGACTGTAGACTTAGTATTCATTAACTAGCTGCGACCGCAGATAGCCAATGACGGCTGCACTGGGCCTTCCATTGGGTGTACGTCATATGACGTCCTCCCAGAACGCGCTCTCCTGCGCGCCCCAGGGGTGCTGCACCCCTGCGATCTCCAGATCGCTGTGTCCTACGAACAGCTGATCACGTGATGTGGTAAAAGGCCAATCACATGGCCTTTTACCACGTGATCAGCGGTGTCCAATGACACGCTGATCACAGCCAGTGAAATGCCAGTGCCGGTTAATATCGGCTGCACTTTCCTCACGCTGTCAGATCGTGGGACAGAAAAACTGCCGAGAACCGGCAGTTTGTCAGAGCAGGGATCGGCACCAATCATCAGGGCACTGATGATCAGTGCCCTGATGATCGGTGCCCAAGTGCCACCCGCAAGTTTCCATTTATTTTCTTCAAGCCCAGCAGTTTGCCCCTAAAACACTAGCTCCACCCACCCAGTAGTTTAGTTTTGCAGGCACCTGTGCCCAGCAGTGCACTCACAGTGTGCCACTCTGCAGTGCCACCTACCTGTGCAGCAGTGCCACCCACCTGGTGCCCACCCACCAGCTGCCACCAGTTGCCACCCACCAGTGCAGCCCAGCAGTGCTGCTTAGTCAGTGCCACCAGTCAGTGCCCAGGGGTTGTGGCACTGCCGCAAGTCAGTGCCCAGCAGTGATGCCAGTCAGTGCCGTCAGTCAGTGCCGTCTCTCAGTAATAATCAGTGTCACCTATCAGTGCCGCATTTAGTGCAGCCTATCCGTGACACCTCATTAGTGCTGTCTATGGTGCCCCTTTCTTGCCACCTCATTAGTAGAGGATCAGTGCCCTTTAGTGCTGCCTATCAGTTGCCGCCTATCAGTGCCCATTAGTGGCCTCATCAACGCACACAGTGAAGGAGAAAAAATACCTGTTTGAAAAATTTATAAAAGAAAAACAAACTTTTTTTTTTTTTTCAAATTTGTTGCACTTTTTTTATTTAACGCAAAAAGTAAAGGCCCAGTGGCGATTAAATACCACCAAAAGAAAATTCTATTTGTGAGTTAAAAAACTGACAAAAAGATTCATTTACAATGTTGCAAGGGAGGGGCAATTGTCAATCAAAAGTGCGTCACAAGTGCTGAAAGCTGAAAATTGGCCAGGTAAATCAGGGGGTAAAAGTGCATCTGAGTAGTAGACAAGTATTCATAATAAGAGTTCCCTGAGACTGGAAAATTATTTTAAAAAAAAGAGAGTTCCTCTGTGTTAAAGAGATGAGAAAGGCTGATCTAGAGGCAAATGCTTGAAGAGGATGTGTCACAGTGTTGGGGTGAAATTGTACTAGTTGTTGGAGAAGATATACCTGTTTGAGAACAGGTATATCTTGTTTGTTGTATTGTGGGTCAGTAGCCAGACCTACACCTGGTAGCTCTTCCCCACTTTGTCTTTTTTCCTCCTATATTGGAATTGTGTCCACAGTAACGTTTGTGTAGGCAGAACAGAGTAGGGACTGGCCATAGAGGGGTTACTTTGATGCAGTTTGCCAGCTTAACCTCCTTGGCGGTTTTCCCGAGTGCAGCTCGGGGTAGAATTTCTATACCAGAACGGTAACCCCGAGCTACACTCGGGCTTACCATGCAGCGTTCTCTGGGGGGTCCCTGCAGCACTTACCTTGTCCTTCGCTCCCCACGATGGGTCCCCTGCAGCGTCCCCGGCCATCTCCTCCGGCGGATGCCGGCATCTGGCTTCCGTGTTCCGGTCCCTGTGACGTCGGAACGTTCGGGCGGCGGGGGTCGGAACCGGCGGGAAATTTGAAATTTTTAAAAAAAATGACATTTTTGCTGTCATTGCTTTTTTTCACTGCATTTCACATACATTTTGTCGCCACTGCTTTGTCCTGCGCCCTGCCTGCATTTTGACTGTTCTTTCTGCCTGGAAACTTAGAAAAGTCCATGGCGGCCAAAAAGCGTCCCTTTACGTCAAAAGCGGTTTTAGAACAGAGATAGTAAATCAGAACCACTTGCAGAATTGAGTGATAATGATTTGTGGGGAAATTCGTCATCAGACACTGAAAACGATTTTTGCGACTTTGCTCAGCGATGTGCAAATTTGCCTCTGTATTTCAAATTTCAGTGTTTTTGGTTTGATTATATTATTGAATTAAATTTATTATTATTATATTATTATTTTTTATGATTATTTATTAAATTATAATTTATGATTTCGTGTTCAAGTTTTATCATATCCGGAATGTTTAATAGACTCTTTTTCGGATAGATTTCAGTGAGTTATTCCTAAAAATTACAGCCTACAATTAAAAACTACATATTTCCATGCAAAAAAAATGGTACCAGCTTTCAGCACAAAATTCCTGACATGATCATACCGCTAGGGAGGTTAAGCATGTATTGCAATATGTGTGAACCAAATATCCATATTTATTGCAAAGTTTGCTTGAAAGGGTATATACCAGTGTGCAGAGGGTCCATCAGACTTTCTAGTGATAACCTCCCTAGCGGTCTGATTATGTCAGTATTTCTGTGCTCAGAGCAGTACATTTTTTTGCATGGAAATATGTAGTTTTTTATTTTAGGCCTGTAGTATAATAAATAATCATAAAAAATAACAATAATAATACATTTAATTCAATAATATAATCAAACCAAAAACACTGAAATGTGAAATATAAATGTGAGCAACGCTGCAGTGTAACACTGAAATGTGAAATATAGCGCCAAGTTCGCACATCACTGAGCAAAGTCGCAGAATCGTTTTCAGTGTCTGATGACGAATTTCCCCCACAAAATCATTATCACTCAATTCTGCAAGTGGTTCTAATTTACTATCACTGTTCTCTAGCCGGTCTAAAACCACTTTTAACATAAAGGGACGCTTTTTGGACGCCATGGACGTTTCTCAGTTTCCAGGCAGAAAGAACAGTAAAAATGCAGGCAGGGCGCCGGACAAAGCACTCGGGACAAAATGTATGTGAAATGGTTTGATACAGTAATGTTACTATACTTTATGTGAATTTAGTGAATGTGAATGTTTAGTGAATGTTCACATTTAGTGAAGTCACTTTTTAACATTTTTAAAATTTCCCACCGGCTTCCATCCCCCATACGTCCTGACGCTCGCAGGGAACAGAACCCGGAAGACAGATGCCCGCATCGGCCGAAGGAGATGGCCGGGACGCTGCAGGGGTGTCATCGCGGGAGCGCAGGACAAAATAAGTGCAAGAGGGATCCCAGAGCAACGCTGCAGTGTATTTCCGAGTGTAGCTCAGGGTTACCGCTTTTGGTACTGAAAGTTAACCCCGAGCTACACTTGGGAATACCGCCAGGGGGTTAATATGTGGTTACACCCCTTTATCACCTGATGGATAAATGCATGTACTAGTTATTGGGATTTGAGCACAGGTAGATCTTGTTTACAGTATTGGGGTGGGCACTGGGCTGGGATGTTTTTCTTGTAAACGCTGTGCAGCCCCAGTCAGGGTATGACATGAAAAAGAACTCAGGAGAGAGGATGAAGGCGAGTATGTTAGTTTGCAGTCTACAAGGTGGAGTGTATATACAAAGCACAACTGCACTAAAAGTCAAGTTAAGAGTAAATAATACTCTCTTCACCAAAAATAGATGTTTTGTACATTGTCTAAATACCCCAATTGTGACACAAAGATGACCATAATCCAAACAGTACAGAGCACAGTCGTTACCTTGGGTGCATTGACAAACTGATACTCACTATCAAATATTAAAAAGCCCCTCGTCTACCAGTCACCTGTAAGAGATGAAAATGATATATATTTATACAATCCAATCACAAGATCTCTCCAATTTTAATGTGACGCTGTCAGCCATTTTAAATTCAGCTCTTTTGCCTATACCAGGGGTGTCCAAACTTTTTTCAAAGAGGGCCAGATTGGATGAAGTGAACATGGTGGAGGGCCGAACATTTTTTTTCCAAACATTCTTTGAACCATTACAATTAAATGCAAATAAATTATTTTATATGCCAAGTTACCGTATTTTTTGCCGTATAAGACGCACCTGACCATAAGACGCACCTAGGTTTTAGAGGCAGAAAACAGGGAAAAAAAAAAAATTTCTGAACTAATGGACTGCAGACACAAGTACAGGAGATGACCAGAGACTGCGGACAGCACAGGGATGACCAGAGACTGCGGACAGCACAGGGATGACCAGAGACTTGACCAGAGACTGCGGACAGCACAGGGATGACCAGAGACTGCGGACAGCACAGGGATGACCAGAGACTGCGGACAGTACAGATGACTGCTGACCTTTGGGGAGGTGGGGAGCGGGTACCTGAATTTGACAGGTACCCGCTCTTACTTCCGCAGTTGTTCTTTGATCTTACCTGTTCCTCAATCCAGCCGCACGCTGTCTTCCCGGCTTCTGTAATGGCGCTCGGCATGACAGCCGGGTGCCAGTGCGCATGAGTGAGAAGATTGGTCCGGCGGCTTCTTTTGGGATCTGTCATGTGTCCCAGGTACCGCCTTACCATTCACAAAAAGCACCGCTTCTTGCGCATGCGCACTTGGCACCTGGCTGTCATGCCCAGCGCCCACACTACAGAAGCCGGGAAGACAGCGCGCCGCTGGATAGAGGAACAGGTAAGGTCCCGCTGCAGAGCTGAGCGGCCGGCCTGGTATTCTGACACGGCTGCGGTGGAAATACCGGACCGGCCGCTCCATATTCGCTCCATAAGACACACTGACATGGAGGGCCGTATTAAACCGACCCTCGGGCCGTAAATGGCCCGCGGGCCGGACTTTGTACATGCCTGGCCTATACGAACTAGATATCACATTTCAGCAACAGGCTAGTAATTTATGATACAAAAATTATATGTAACTATTTTTTTGGGGGGAGAGGCATTCTTCTGGTCGAATTGTATTTGAAAAATCATTTATATATCCCTAAAGGATATGTTCACCTTTGGGAACATATTCCATCCATTTTTAGGGTGGAACATATAACATGTTCCCAATCCTGCAGCCGCTGCCCGATCCCCCCCCTTCCCCCGTGACAGAGGTATGGGGAGAAGTTCCCCATATTAGTTGTCACTTTTTATAAAAAGAGCGGTTGTGTGGGGCTCCGCCCACACAGCTGTGTCATTCATTCACAGAGTTCTGTGAATGAATGAGCTATAAGTCCCAACAGTCTTAACGGCTGTCTGCTTGTAGTTCTCAATGGATTACCATGGCATTGTGGAGCGCTGTGGTGGTTCATTGAATCTTCCTGTCAGAATATCTGTGTACATCCTGTACGGGCAAGCAGATATACTGACAGGTTTACAGGAGACCTGCATAGCACCAGGTGGCACTGGTGCAATGCTTTACAGGCTCCTACAACAAAAAAATAATAAATGCACATTTTTTTACCTGCAAAAAAGTGTGCATTTTTTATTTTTGATCAAAATGTGAACTTATCCTTTATTATTATTATATTATTATACAGTATTTATATAGTGCCAACAGTTTGCTCAGCGCAAATTGTTTAAATTTAAAGCAGACTTTACTCTAAAATGCAGAAGAATCAGGTCTCGTCATACCCTAAGGTGGAATGAGGAGTCCCAGCTTGCCTTGCAGAAGAACCACAAGTCTCAGCATAGCCTGCAGTAGAATGAGTTCCAACAGCTTGCCTTGTTGAGGAGCCACTGGTTTCAGTCTACACAGGGCTAGAACAATTATTATTATTATTATTATTATACAGGATTTATATCGCGCCAACAGTTTGCTCAGCGCTTTATAATATAAACGGAGACAATACAGCAACAATACAGTTCAATACAAGAGGGATTAGAGGGCCCTGCTCCTTGGAGCTTACAATCTAGGAGGGAGGGGCTAGTGGTACAAAAGGTAACTGTGGGGGATGGACTGGTAGGAAGAGTAGAAGATTCCAGTATTAGCTGAGGGCAGGATAGGCTTCCCTGAAGAGATAGGTTTTCAGAGATCGCTTAAAAGTGAGCAGAGTAGGTGATAGTCTGATAAATTGGGGTAGTGAGTTCCAGAGGATGGGGGAAGTCCTGGAGATGAGCATGGGAGAAAACAAGGGAGCTAGAGAGCAGGAGGTCTTGCGAGGAGCGGAGAGTACAGTTTGGGTGATATTTAGAGACAAGATCTGTGATGTAATTTGGGGCAGATGAATCCTTGCAGAGGAACCAGAGAACTCAGCATACCCTAGAGTGAAACAATGAGTCCCAGCAAGCCTTGAAGAGGAACCTCAGATCACAGCATACCCTGGGGATGAATAATATATCTCTGGAAAACAGTGTCAGCATACCCCAGCAAAGAATAAAAAGAGTCCCAATCATAAGCAGCCGAGGCATTCATGCACAAGGGGCATGTATACAGCGGGGAGCAGGAAATGCCTCAGCTGCTTATGGTTGGCTTTGTGCTGATTGGTGGGGTAGCTCAGGTGGGTTGTGACTAGGATCCGAACATGCCTGAGCTCAACCTTACTCCCAAACTGCCTACCAAGTAAGCACCAGTCTCTCAGCATTCCCTGGTGTCAAATGAAAAAGCCCAGCTCTCAGGATACATTAGAGTGGAATGAGGTGTTCCAGCACGCCTTGCAGAGGAATCAAAATTCTCAGCGAGCATGCCCAGTGGAACTGCAAGTCTCAGAACACCCTGGTAAAGATTGAGGAGTCGCAATCATAGGCAGCTGAGGTATTCTCTGTCTACAGCCGTGCATGAACAAGAGGCCTGTATACGTGCGGCCAGGGAGCGGGAAATGCATTGGCCACTTATGACTGGCTTTGTGCAATGACAGCTTCCTGGTGGGATAGCTCAGGTGGGTTCTGACTAGGACCTGAACACACAAAGAGTCCCAACACACCAACAGAAGAACCACAGGTCTCAGCATATGCTTGGGACAAATGAGGAGTTCCAGCAGGCCTTGCACTGCTCTTAGACTACCCTGGGGTCAAATAATGACTCCTAACATGCCTGGCAGAATAGCCGCAGGTCTCGGCATACACTTGGGTGGAATGCAGAATCCCAACACACATTACAGAGGAACCAACAAACTCAGCACACCCCGGGGTGAATGGAGTCCCAGCAGGCCTTGAGGAAAAAGTATAGTTCTCAGCATACATTAGGTGGTATGAGGTGTAAACCCTGGGGGTGAATGAGGAGTCCCAGCAGGCCTTGTACAGGAACCAGAGGTTCCAGCATATGCTGGGGAAGAATGAAGAGTCCCAGCAGGAGAACTACAAGTCCCAGCAAAACCAGGAGTAGAATGAGGAGTCCCAACAAGCTTAAAGAGGAACCACAGGTCCCAGCATACCCTGGGGAAGAGGGAGGAGCCCAACATGCTTACAGAGGAACCACAGGTTCCAGATACCCTGGGGAAGAGGGAGGAGCCCAGCATTCCCTGGGGAAGAGGGAGGAGTTCCAGCATATGTGTAGAAGAGAGAGCAGAAAGAAGAAGCAGCATGCCATGTAGAGGAACTACAAGTCTCAGCATACCCTGGGGGAAATGATAAGGACAGGACACATAAAGGATATACTGCCTGGAGGTGTCACCTCTCCCAGTGTGGACAATGGCGGTCTGTAGACTATATGAAGTCCGGACACACACACCCTCTCTCCCCCCGCCGTTTCCTCGGCTCCCGGCTCCCCGCTCCTCACATGTAAACACAACTGGATGGGCACACCGCATTCACGTCCGGGTCGCCGCACTCCTCCATCATTCGCCAGTAGGGATCTGACGTTTAGAACCACAGCCAATCATCTGACCGAGTCCACCTCTGTCATCTTTCTACGACCCGCCCACTTCTAATGACGTCCAATAACCTTTTATTGGTAATAGTGGAAGGATGAGGGGGGGCTGTGTTACCTGTAACAACCTGGGATCATGCGTGCTGAGTTGCTAGGTTGCCTTACTATGAAAACTTGTGTGTTATAAAATAAATTATCCAACAGACACTTTCCTTTCCCTTTACCCTCTTCCTCCCCTCTCCTTTCCTTTACCTTCCCTTGATTTCCTATTTCCTTTCCTTTTCTCTTTCCTATTTCCTTTCTTCTGCTCTTTCCTTTTCCCCTTTCCTCTTATTTTCTCTTTCCTTTTCTTTTTACTTTCCTCTCCTTTCCTATTTCCTTTCCCTTCTCTTTCCTCTCCTTTCCTATTTCCTCTCCTCTCCTTTTTTCCTTTCCTATTTCCTTTCCTATTTCCTCTCCTCTCCTTTTTCCTTTCCTATTTCCTTTCCTTTTATATTTCCTTTCCTCTCCTCTCCTTTTCCTATTTCCATTCCTATTTCCTTTCACCTCCTCTCCT